CTTTTTGCTATTTTAGGCACATATGCGTAATTATCTCGTTTAATAAATCATCAACCTCCTTGAAACTCAACAGTTCGTTAGACGGGATCAAGACGCATCTTTAGACACCAAAATTTCTAAAATCCGTCGCTCCGTTGCTTTGAAAAGCTTTTGAGACCGCAACTAAAAACCCAAATAAGCCAAGTTCGTGTAACTATGGTGTCGTTGCCTCGACCGGGCTGTGCTGTGTTGCCAATTGTTGGAGGATAGGTTACTTGCCCGGTGGTGGCTACCGCCACTCATGATTAAATTTCAGGATCGATTTTCCGACTCAAAATATGACTTTTTTCTCCATACACATGTGCCTAAAAATGCTTCATAAGTGAGCTATGCGCTTCCAAAGTTGCAAATTGTTTTCTTTCAAATTGATGTAACTCCTGGCTATGTTGTTTTAAGTAGCTGAAACTTTATAAAAGGGGATATTTTTTATGGTAATGTTCATTTTTTGTGTTTTCGAGCCCGTACGTGTTCGGAAAATGGGCGAGCGTGCCCGGGTTTCAAATTGCAAAAACTTTTTTGGTCGATGTTATTTTGAAAAACGGATTATGGCACGTGAATGAGGGCAACAAATTAAGCGGAGAGGAAATTGCACAAAAATTTCCATGAATACACTGTTTCGACGCAACGAAGTTTTGAAAACGTTTCAGATTTTCGAAGTTCCTTGCTGAGAAGGCAATTTGGACGGAGTTAAACAGAAAGGAACCAAGCCACATCAGGATCGAACCGAGAAAAAGAGGTTTAAAGTTTGGCTCCTGCATAAGACTCAATGTAAAAGATAAACTTTAAGTTCAATTTCTGCAAAATTTGCTCCAACAAAAACTTTGAATTTTTGGCGATAGATAGTAGAGCAGTGGTTGGGTTCAAAACCACTCATAACTCAATTTTTTCCAAAATGTGGGTTGGTTCCTTTCTGCTTAACGCAGTCCATTTATAGTGCAAAAAACAGTATTTGCACTAAAAATTGCCTAGTCAGCAAGGAGCTTCGAAAATCTGTGCGCTACCTTTCTTATGCGCTATGTTTCCTTAAAAGAAAGCATGGCGCATAGGAAAGGTAGCGAAGAGCTCAATTATGAAGCGTTTTCGGGCATATATATATATACGGAAAAAATTCTTATTTTGAGCCAAAAAGTCAATCCTGAAAGTTAAGTTTGTTAACTTTCGGACACCCTGTATAATCACGCTTCCTCGTTTAAGAAACGACGATAGGTCCGCGGCGAAATTTCCATCGAGGCCTGCTCTCAACTCGAAAGATCCACCGTAGCGAGAAAGTCAGAGAAGTTATCCTTCCTGCCCCCCCCCCCCCCCCCNCTTCCGGATGCGGGGGAATCAAGTGAAGTTATGGAATTACGTGTTGTTCGACAGAGAATCCGCCCGGGTAATACATCGTCGATAAATTGAAGGCAGGAGTTGACGTGCAAGGAGGGGTGTTTATGAGGACGCTGCGAGAAAACAATGTATCGGAAGGAAAGGCGCCTCGACTTAGAAGATAAGGTGCTCCCAGGAGCGTCGCTCACCGTCGTCTCTAACCGTTGAACCTGGCCAAATCCTGAATGGACCGCGTTAAGCAGAAACGAACCAAGCCACATCAGCTATTGCCAAATTTCATTGAGCCTTTTAATTTTTTACACGAAGACGGTTAAGCGTATTCGTGTTCAAATTTTAGTGAATTTTTTGCACGGTACAAGGTAAATTCCTTTAAATTTTCAAAGAGACCCGCACAAACGTTCTCTTGTAAAACATTGAACTGTCCAGTTAAATTTGGCATTAGCTGATGTGGCTTGGTTCCTTTCTGATAGACGTAGACCAAATCTTAAAAATAATTTGTCGAAAAACTTATATTCGGAATTCATATGCACCATCTTTCACAGTTAAAGCCATCGATTGAGTTGAATGGCGCTAGTTTTTTTGCGGAGAGACAGGAATGTTACCCATTTTACCGCGATTAAACCGTTAGGAATTTTATAGTGATATGCGGGGTGCGTGCATCTCCCGACAGAGCCTCTGTTAGTCCTACATTATCGGGGTGATACGAGTGCGGAGCAGTATCTACTTATTTCGGAGTGAACTCCGCTCCAACGGAACAGATTTCACTGCATATCATTCTAGATTTTGCGGCGGGGGAGAGAAGGGGGCGTATATGCTCCGGAGTTAATTGTCCAGAGCACTTCACTCCAAGATTTCTAACGCTGCATTTTCATCTATTTTGAAGCGCTAACTTTTTACCTTCATGAGTGCACTTGCACGATGTGATGGGGCGAGGAATACTCGCTAGCAATTTGGTTTGGTTTTGGTAATGGTCAAATTTTCATGCGAAACGCTACTGTGTGCGGCGGGACGCAAAATTCATAACTTCACCCCCCTCCCCTCTTCCCCTTCCCCTTCTCAGGATCTGGAAGCCGGGAGGAAGAATATGAATACCGGCTGCCGACCCCGAATGATAAAAGATAGCCCGGGAACGTATTGAGGGGGTTTAAGGTCCTAATACGCTCCGCAAACTGACAAATTACCACCTTCTTTTGCGCCTGTCTTTCCCCGCGTGATCCTCTCGCAAAAATTTCAATTTCATTTCTTCCGGGTTCGTTTTTAAATTCGATGCAGATAAAATGTGCATGATTTGTTTCTGTCGCGCCGGTTGATGGAAAATGATATTATTTTGTGCCCGATGTGGAATTGGTTCTCTCACTCAATGCGACCGTATACGCGGCTCGTTGCTTTTGAGGTCTCTATACTCGCTCTTTTTTCAACAGTTTACACAGCAAGCTTACTGTTCGTAGGTTAATTTTCAGTATTGTTTCGAAAGGAACTGACAGAGAAAATGAAATTGCAGAGCTTCCGCGCTAACAATTTAAGGAAAAATCGGGTGAGGCATTAATATTAGGTTCGGGGGGTTTATCTCAATTTTTCGCCTTTTAATGATTAATTATTAATTTTTTGAGCATGTATTCGCCAAAGTATGACATATATGTGTCAGAATGGGTATTTTTTCATGCAATTTTTGCAGTTAGGTTCGAATTGCGAGAGCAATTGCTCAACGGTTTAGTCATCAGGCATCATCACGCAAACACCTGAGAGTTGACTTTCGAAAGTAACGTCTACAATTTACACAACATGAAAAAAACTGAGGAAGGAAAACATATTGTCTCTGAAAACTGATGCACTTGTGTAGAGGGAGTACAGTACAGCCATCCAGGCCCGCCACATCCCATATCGGGCCCTGGTACCAGTTTTAAGGTCCGGGCCCCAAGCAAGGATGGGGGGGGGGGTTTGAGGGGCATCCCCCGAGAAATTTTAGAATTAATACGACTAATCAGACGCATTTTGAAGCTTCCATAAAGAATTTTTCCATAAATTTCTGCGGAATAATTATGTTTTTTTTTCTACTTTCAGCACAAAATACTTGCAAATTGTTACATCTGGAAAATTTTTAATTTTTTTTTTTTTTGGGGGGGGGTGGGGGCATATGATACTATTATCAGTTCTATGAGGGTCAGGCCCCCCTGGACTCCCCCTTCGTTTGTTTATGGCAAAGGATTTGAGCCATGAGCCATTGAAGTCGAGGATTCGTGGATAGTCGATTTCCTTTGACATTTTTGCAGTGTTGAATGCATAGCTGAAGTGCGCTCTAGCTAGAATTGTATTTACAAATGGGTGCTTTTTCTACGAGGATTAAAAATAAACGAGTGGCACGGAATATAACAAAAGAATATGAACTATGCAAAACGATAATCCGGGTATCGGAACTTGGCTGTTTTGAAAACGCCTTCAAATGCGGCGTGATACCTCACGCATTCCGGAGAGTTAAAATAGTTGTATCATCGCGCCTTAGAAATGCGGCGGAAGATTTCAATTGAAATAGCCTTCATGCACGCTGGCTTTTTCGATTCCCTTTGAGATTTTTGCAGTGCTGAATGCATAGCTGAAGTGCGCTCCAGCTAGAATTGTAATTAGCAAATGGGTGGTTTTTCTACGAGGATTAAAAATAAACGAGTGGCACGGAATATAACAAAAGAATATGAAGTATGCAAAACGATAATCCGGGTATTTAAACTTGGCTGTTTTGAAAACGCCTTCAAACGCGGCGTGATACCTCACGCATCCCGGAGAGTTCAAATAGTTGTATCATTGCGCCGTATGAATGTGACGGAAGATTTAAATGGAAATAGCCTTCATGTGAGCCATCTCAGTCATTTTTAAACAAAAAAGATTTTGCCGCTTTCGGATCGGACTAATTGTTTAAGGGTATTCCACTGAGCCTCAAACTGTAATAATAACAAAAAATCAAAAAGTATATTTGAACTGAGTTTAAATGTGATAAGTGATGTTTAGTTTTGAACTTTAAAAATTAGTTCTTGGTCAAAGTTTCATCCATGAAACTACACTCTTCTTGTGATCATCGTTCATTTCCTCCTCGAAAATAGCGGAGTTCCCCGATTTGTAGATCGAGTGTGTTCACACACGGCCGTATAGAAGGCCTGAAACCAAAGAAACAATCGAAAAGCAGCACAAACATGGTTAATAGTTCTGCAAGGAGTTTCTTTTCACGTAAATTTTACTAGTTTTTTGAGGGGTACATTTGAAAAGTATTTTTAACCATCGAGGCGTTGGGTGCAGAAAGGGCATTTCTCGGTTGCGGTCAGAATCTCCACTGCTAATTTATATTTTTGAGAGGAAACTATTGGGCATTCGCCCAAATTCTTGCTGAAATTTTTAGTTTTCAGCATTGTAAAATCATAAAGAAAATTCAGTAAAGGTTGTGTATAGTGGATGAAACGTTAACGGAGATGCAACCAAGAAATGCCCTTTTTGCGCCCACAGCGCTTCAATCTCTATGCCATCAGGGTATGTTTCAAGGATTTCTGAACAAATTGTTGGCACGTTTTTAGTAGCAGGTTGACTTTGAAATTGCTCTTCATGCAGATGATTTTCAAGGTTCTAAAAGAGCAACTCTTTTTGGATTTCAGAGCTGCCCGAGGACAGTCCACTGCTCATGACCGAAAGGAACAAGTACGAGCCGGGTGAGACACTGAGAGCGAATTGCAGTTCCCTTCCGTCGCGACCAGTAGCATCGCTCAGTTTCTTACTCAACAACGCACCTGTGAGTTTTACTCATCTAAATCAACTTAGTACTCCTAATGTCTATAATATACGTAGAGGGTGATAGAGTGGAAGGCTTGAGGTGCGACCTTCGCCATCGTTCAATCAGAATCAGGACGGCACCGGCCCTGTACAAATCGCACGCCTTTATGGTGCAACTCTTCATCATTATATTTCCCTAGTTATACTGGAGTGAAGGCCGCTCAAATGAAAAGTTCTCAGAGTGCTTTCAATTTGTTGGCTATGCAACATTTCTTTCTGGCACTCGTCAAGGTAGAGGACTTGTGGTTTTACTAAAAAATTATAATCTCGTCACTTTCCGGCAAAAGGATCACAAACGACTTGCGACATTTAAAAATTTCTGTCGCCATTTTATTTTTAACAGAGAAATTGTTGGTTGAATCGGTTTGAAAATTTCACTGAATTTCATCGGGAACACAGTGAAAATTCAGTGAAATTTTCGGACAGCTTCGTTGAACAATCTCTCTGTAAAAAAATGAGATGGCGGCGGCAATTTTTATGCGTCGCACGGCACTTATGATACCTTGGTCGGAGGGTGAGGATCTCCAGTTGCGACCTTACAAGTTTTTCCTCCAATTTTAATGTTTTCGAGTAAATTATTTTTTTAATTTAGGTCTCGGCATGTTGCATTAATGTGAGGAATATTTGTGTGGTCAGGTGAATGCGACAATTTCGTCATCAGAGCAGGACGATGAGTGGCGGAGTCGGAGTCGAATTAGTTTGGAGCTGCCTCTAAGCTCTTGGCACTTCTCAGCGGGTGGACAACTGGACCTCAAGTGCACGGCCCTCGTTGGCGAGTTCTACTTGGACACGAGGACCGTCCAACTCGGGTCCCGCAGCTCCGGTCCTGTTCCCGAGAGAGGTAATTATTATTTCTCAACTAAACTCCCGTCCTTATCATCAACACCGTATCAACATTCGAATATTGTCAAATTTACACCGAAAAAATATTTGTTTTACAGGAGAGTTATGCATATTTTTCCTTGAAATTTTCACGTATTTTTGGATTGAATTTCCAACAGGATTATCCAAAAGTTTGGTGAAAAATTATTCACAACTTTTTCTATAAATGTATACTTTGTAAACGGAAATTTGGCAACGCCTGAAGGTTCATACGATGTTTTTCCTTAGAACGGCGGTGAATGACTTAACGCACAGTGAAACCGAAAGTTGTTCAGAAAAATAATTTATAAGTATGTTACACGTAGAAAACCTTGTAAAGTTTACAAATCCGAATTTAAAAAAAGTCCAGCTCGTAAACCAGATCATGGCCACATGAGTTTTTGTCCTCTGTATAAATTCTGATATCGGGTTTTCTCAAAAATACAATTTTAGGGCAATTGAAATCGCCGGAGAACTTCACGCCGAACTGAAGTCATAGCGGTTTGAAGTTTGCAATTCAGAAAAGGTAGCGACAAAAAAGCTACTTAGAATTAAGGAGCTTTGCAGGACTAGGCACATAAGTACAGTTTTCGCTTTTTCTAGAAATGTGTGTTGGAAGATTCGAAATTACATGGCATCCTTGTGGCGCAAAGAAAGTTCAAACTGACTTTTTGATGCTTATAAATTGGAATGAAGGAACGAATTTTTCACAGAATATGCATTAGACCAGTTTTACTTGAAATCATTAATATATTATTTTTTCAGAAATTGCACTTACCAATGCGCCTCGTCTTCCAAGCACCTCAATTCTAATTGATCGTGATTAGAGCATAACCTTTCTGTAAAGCAGTTTTTTTTTTCGCTTGATATTGGCAAAAAATGAACTAGACCGCTGGACGGGCTCATTAAAATATTTTATTACTTGTTTAATTCAATTTAATTTATCTTTCACTTTGAGCTATTACGTAAAATATTATAATTTTGCGCCTGATTATTTGTTTCAGTAGTCTTCGGCAGTAGTTCCAGTCATAATCCTGTCAATTTTATAATTCTAATAGTGACATACGCATCAACTTTCAATGCCGGAGTAATCAGCTAGCTTTAAAATATATGTATAATGTTTAACTATTACTGAAATGTGTCGTATTTTCTCATGAAATGTCAAGTAAAGCGTGAAACAAACGTACTTTACCCGGAATATCTCATATCAACAAATTAATTCCATTTTAAGTTTCGATCTTAGTGACCCAATTCAATTTCAAATGTGCTCAAAGATCTTTATCTCTCTGTTTAAACTCAATGAAGTGTGGCAAATGGGCATGTGTCTTCCGTGCACTGATCTACCAACCAACCAACCACACGGAGTGAATTCGGAGCTCTCGATTCTTTCTGATTCCAAAGAATCTCTCCTCTCCGACCCTTCAGGCCGTCAATTAATTGAAACCTTTCTCTTAGGAAAAAGGTACAATTAAAAGGGAGGATACATTTCAATCATTTGTGAATGGCCTTCGGTGACCGTAAATTTTTGCTTAATCTCTTATTTTGAGTCAAAAGGTCAAAGCTTAATTCATTTCCTTTCTCTTGGCTTCCTTAACATATCTTCCATGCCGTCCCAAAAATGAGAGATTACACTGAAATAGAGTTCAGTTTTAGTTCCATATCGGTGGCTAAAATTGACAGATAAGTATCTCCATTGCAGTATTTTAAAATTCATTTTATACATCAGTTTTATTTCTTAAAAAAAAAACAACTTAACATTTTTGAACAATTCCCGGAATGAGTAAAAAAATACACAGAGAATTTTTTAAAAAAAAAAAAAAAAACTGATCTAGTTCGCGAAGAAACTTAGAACATGAGCAAAAATGCAATGATAGGAACGTTACAACTGGAGGTACGCTTTTTTCAACATAATATTATAATCTTTATCCATCATGTGCTTTTCTTCGTGGTTACAATTTCGACTCATGTCATCGTACATTCATATCATGTGACCAAACTTTCAACTAACATAGACCAAGAAATAAGTTCAATCAGTAGAGCCGAGCGCACGATTTCATGAACCGATATCGCCATGATGTTGGAGCCAATATTTACGAAGAACACTGTACATACAATACGTATGACTGATTTTTTCATGCTCCGCTAGAGTTCTCTTCACCTGCCGTCGAAACCGACATTTTAAAGTGTTTATATTGCCACAAATATGCTACGTTGGCCAAAAAAAGTAGATAAAGTAAACAGGTATAGATAAATGGAAATAAAATTAAGTTGAGTGTTGTAAGAGCTAAACGGAGATGCAACGTGTGTAAGTGGACGGTTATGAGTGGATGCATTGTTAGAGGCATCCATAATGTGATGATTGAGAGGTTGAACAACTGTATAATGTCATAACAGATCGTGGGACTTATCTCTCATTTTTCAATAGATCGCATGACACATTGAGTTAAACCGCACTTATCCTCGCGACACCCGAGTGATCCATTATAGTTAGTGACTTCGTGAAATATTATTTTGCAGGTTGTTGTTTCTTTGTTTTACACAAAATTAACTTAAATAGGAATCCTAGTATTTTTGAAAAATTCTACAATAAAGGTAGCTCCATAATGGGCCTGTTGCAAACTTTTGCTAGAGCAAAACTAAGAGTTGTTTCTTATAAATAATGCCTCAAAAATCACGATGAGCGCATCGGCAAACTCTGAAATGCACTCATAACTTCACAAACTGCGTAAGAAATTTGCGGTTTTTTGAGCTTCCCGCTTCAAAAACGATACTACGGCACAGGTGAACATTTTGTAAGAGGAGTCGTTCCATCGTCGGCAATAATCATCATAGCCGACGCCAATCCGCCAAAACACGTTTGATGGGACGAGATAACACCTGAACTGGATTAGACCAGATAACAATCGGTGTGTTAACGTTCATATTTTCCACGCCCGAATTGATTGACCTTGAACTCTCCTTGAATTACGCGCGGAACTGCGTGCAAGCGTCGGCCATGATGAATATCGCCGACGATGGAGCGACTCCTCTAACAAAATGTTCACCTATGCCGTAGTATCGTTTTTGAAGCGGGAAGCTTAAAAAAACGCAAATTTCTTACGCAGATTGTGAGGTTATGAGTGCATTTCAGACTTTGCCGATGCGCTCATCGTGATTTTTGAGGCATTATCTATAAGAAACAACTCTTATTTTTGCTCTAGCAAAAGTTTGCAACAGGCCCATTTGGCGCCCTAATTAACATCAATTCATCTTGCTCGAGAGAGAAATTCGAGTTATTAAAATGTATTTATAGAAAAAAACCAAGCTAAAAGAAAGGTTCAACGAGATTATTGCGTAGTTTGCCCCAAAATATATATGTGCCAAAATCCCTCAATTTGAGGAAAAGTGATGCGTAACGTATAAGTTCCATTTTGAAAAGCAAAGGTCTCATAACGGTGTTTCATATTTGCCGTACTAGCAAGTGCTATACTTAATCGATTCATATAACCTTGGTTTTGATTCTTGTAGCCGTATCTTCGATCTTTGTACCTTAGCTCTTTCTACAATCTGATTTGTGATGTTGAATTATTCTTAAAGTTAGCTCTCATAAGCCAAGTACAGTTACAATAACCGAAAAGCACGGCCGAGATGTAACAATGCATTGGTTCATATAATATAAGTGAACTTTCTTTTCGCAGTACAGAGTTATTTTCTGAGTTGTGGTGAATAATACAACTTAAAAAATTTAGAACACAATGAGATCCTACTTGAGGGATAAAGGATTTATTGATTCGCGGAAATTCTGGAGACATTATGATGGTAAAACTTAATTTATATTAATAAAAAATGCACAAAATATTTTGTGTCATGAGGCTTTAAAATAACGATTAACAAGTTTTGGCTAAATGGTGTTGACGAAATTGGAAAATTAAAATGTGCTCAGTTTATTTTCTAGGGAATTGATTTTTGTGAATCAAGTTTACCTCTTCTATTGTAATAAATGTGTCTAATTTTTTTCTTAGAGTTATTTCATTTTCACTCTTATCAAAGATTTTCTCCTTACCATATTACTGTTCCACTAATTGGTATCCCATTTACTTTTCACGAGAAGATATTTCACAAGATTCCCATTCAAAATTTTCGTGAAAGCCGTCCTTTGTTGTGATCTCAATAATGTCATTGTCCTAGAACTATAGGTCACAAGACACATGACTGCAATGACTGCAGAAAGGGCATTTTGTGGTTGCGGTGTCTCAAAATCCCCCCTAGCGTTGCATCCATTATGATTAAATCAAATGTGTACTCCGTTGAATTTTTTACTGAATATTTTTTATGACTTTACAATTCTGAAAACGGAAAATTTCACAAAATACACGCGATAGTTTCCTCCCTAAAACATGAATTAGAAGTGGAGACTCTGTAAGACCGCAATCGAGAAATCCCATTTCTGCACTCAACGCCTCAATTGAACGTCACGTACTCAAATTTTGTGAACGGCCCCTTACTACCATTGACGGCGCAGAAGAATCGCTGGTTTACTCACCTGGACCATCTCACGCACACTCCTTAGTCATTTCCTCGAACCGTCGAAATGACGTAGAAGAGGAATAAGGCGGGAAGTCTCCAGCTCATTTCCGGGCGTTGTTATCATTTCTGCGAATTTTTTATAAGGGCCCACCAATTATGGAAGACCCGATCGAGACGGCCAAGTGTTTGTCGATAAGACGAGCTGTCAGGTAGGTGAGACAGTGTCAAGACGGGATGTCGATACACCACACGCCTCGTGGCTCGGTCTAGTGTTACGGTTCGCGGGTGTTTCCACTGCACGTCGGTGTTTTTTCAGCATAAACAGGGGTTTTTTCCTCCTGCCAGAAAACAAGTAAGTTACTGGGACGGATGTTGATCATCCATTATTTGGAGAGTGAATTCAAAACTTGGTGTTGCTACCATTGCAACCTTGGTGGTTCACCGTGGAGTTGCTTAGAGTGCGCATGGTGTTTTCCCTTCGAAAGAAATAAAATGCCTGCTTTTAATCGGATTTTTACAGGAGAATGTGTTCTAAATTCGTGCGTCGTTCCCAGCCGCTATAACGTAACTCTACTTAAATATTGTGAAAATAACCTAAGCAATTAATATTTTTACAAGAGGTTAAGTGTATGAGTTCCGTTCAAAATTGTGCTCATTTTCAGCGTAACCTAACGATAAATCGGTGAAGTTTTGAGTTCAAAATACCCAATACTTACAGCGTTAATACAATTTACGAGTGGAAAATTTGTGGCGTTGAAGTATGGTTACGTTCTTTCGTCGGGGGAACGACAGAAGCCTCATTTCTATGAAGAGAGACATTATTCTTGCAGCCTATAAATTTCTATTAATTAAAAGAAATAGTTGAACAGTCTCAGCAACGGTTTTTGGCGCATGGTGCTTACCAGATTTTGAATAAAATTCACTCTTCATTTACAAGAAAAAAACCGTTTTCGGAGACCGCACCACACCTTGTATACAACAGGACACAAAATTTTCTTGTTCAAATAACCAAAGCTTTCGGTCACAGAAACCGGATTCCGATTAAAAAACCGAATTATTCGATGGAAAGTACAAGATATGTATATTTAATACATTTTCGTTCACCACAACCTCCAGGTTGAGGCATACGAAATACCTCGAACTCAACTTGAGGTTGAGATGGGGCTTAATATGTTTTTTATTTTACGAGTCAAATCTTTAAATTATTTATTCGAGGAAAAGGAATGTCAGGAGTACTAATCATTAATGGAGCAAGTCAATCACCAAAATCACCGATACCGAGGGGCATACTTGCAAAAAAGATTGTGTGTGTGTTTTATTTTATCGGAGGACTTATTGTTCATTGCAATTTTCGGCTCGGATACAAGTGGGGTCAATTTTCTCAAATCGATATTTGTGGGTATACCTACTGCTCTACCCAGCACGGTAAATTCCTGTTCATGGCCGAAAACATTCATTCTTGACAACATTGCAAACTTCACCACGAAGAAATGAAACACAATTCCGGAGTGTTCAGGGCCACTTGAAGGTGAGGGCGCTTTACTCCCTCTCAATTCGAAAATTGACGTTCTGTCCTCCCCGTGAGGCCTTCCACTAATATGCCAGCATCGATTTTTAAAAGGCTCTCTTTTGATAAACGCATGACAGTTTACATCTACTCGAACCTAGTTATCTAGATTTGAACTTTTTCCTTCCAATATTCATGGTGTTGATGTTAATATTCTGTAGATATTTTTTTATACTTTCGACGATATGATAAATCGAAAATGTCGCACATTCCTTGCTTGCACGAGAGGGAATAGTCACTAAATTCTTATCTAACCATGATCCTTAGGAGATATGCAGCCAATTTCAGCTTTATTGTCAAATCTGCGAAACATGAAATTGGATGTTTTTGCCTGGCATATCTGATGAATCTAAATGACATATGAGTTAGTAGAGGATTTAGTGAATATTAAACATTTTTGGCGACTTTCCGTCAGTTTTTGAGATAGGCCAGAAAGTTCATCCGATGAAATTAATTGATCGAACCCTTACCTTTTTCAAGAGTGACATTTTTTCGTGAGACGGAGTGCATTGCAATTAATATAACTTTAGTCAGGGTTTTTTTTTTTTTTTTTTTTAATGAGATTTTATTATTTTTTTTACACAATCCAGACTAAAGTTAGATGGCGTTTGATGAACAGATAACACAATTTTAGGCATGTATCAAAGGACGAATATTGCACTAATTCCAATTTGTGAAGCACTCAAATGTTGCACGAATCGTATGCTAAAACTGCTTGAAATTCCATGTAGGAGGGTTTATTTTTACATTATAACCCGGGGGAGGCTCCTCGGACCCCCACTCAACATCAACAAATGTCACCTCCACCTAGGACTCTCTCTGGATCCACTTTGTTAAGGGTACAAAATACCAGATTATGATGACATTTTATACACCCTTCGTCGGCACAAAATTAAATTATGATCCTTACAAAATGTTAAGGAGAGGTCTCCGTCGAAATTTGAAAATCTGATTTTTTGACCCACGTATGAATATCTTTGCCCTGAAACGTTTTTTTCCCATGAGTCATGGTGCCTTTTCCTGTAGATGGTTACAAATATTGACCTAAATTCATAAGCTATTTTAGCGGAGTATTTGCCACTAGTCAGATATGTACATAATTTAATTGGACCAATATTTCTGGCTCGTCCATAAAAGCGCACCACGCAGGGAAACTAATGGCGCATATGTTGATTACAAAACGAGCAAAGGAAACTAGGGAAAGATCCCGTATTGCGAAGTGTAGTCCAATTACTCCAATTGTCACATAAAGCCTCGTAATACTGTATTACAGAGGGGCCTCTCCAACTCTGACCTTCCTAGTTAGATATTAGATATTTTGTCGCTTCTCTGACGCAAGAGAGTATCCCAATTTCGACGTGAGCCCTATTTTACATATGAATCCATGTTTTTCGGGGCTTATGTGGAAACCGAGATACGTCCTTCCGTCAGAGAACCGACGATTTGAAAAATAGCCTTGTTTTGACTGTTTGCTGCAAAAATGCGTCATGGACACATTTTCTTTTTGAAGTGAATCGCATTCAACAAAAAAGAACCAGCGCGGTTACAGTATTTTCAAAAGCACGCAACTTCTCCTTTCTTTTTGAAACTACTTAATGTATTAATGTAGACAATAATAAAATGTACACGATTATTTTCCTTTAAAATTAACAATTTTCCAGTGGGAAGCCCAAATTTTTTGCTATTCTAAGAGATGTTTTAGATAAGTATGAAGAAGCAACATTTCGTAAAACACTGTAATAGCGCTGGCCCCTTTTGGCTGAATGCGATCCGATCGAAGCATATTATCTTTAGACGGGTCAGAGCAAAAATTTAAATAAGTGGTAAAAGTCGGATCCTCTTCAACCGCGCGCGCGGATGAGTCAAAAATGTGCGTGGTACTGGAAATGAGGTAAAAGCATGTGAATCGTGCCGTATGACTCATACCACTTGTTCGAGATAAGTACTCAATAAGCGGTAATGAGCCAGGCTCAAACAGAGTTATCTTTCCGTTCCTCCAACGGAAGAACGCAACTCCACTTTCACGTATGACCCAGGAAAGTATGGTGCTATGCGGAAGACGGGGCTCATCTCTAACTCCATTTACACCCTCTGGTCGGCGAAGCGTCGACTTTCCTACTGACGAAATTACGGAAATCCATTAGCATGATTGTCCCTTGCAGACTGCGCCTTGCGCTTTCGATCCAACCCACCGTAAACATTTCAACCTTTTATCACAAATCTGAAAAAATAGTTCCTCTATCAAGCTCTCAATAATTCCGGATTGAATCTTGGGTTTTCGAGTACCTATAATTGAAAAATGAAAGTAAGGAGAATAAAGTTTACCTTAATAAAAAAGTGTATTTGAATTGGTACAATATGGGAACTCGACACATCTGCCCTGGAATGTGTGTAATAATAAAGATAAGTTAGTTGATGATTAATGAACATGACATGTATTTACTTTAAAAACTGGTATACAATCTACTGCCATTTGTTTTCAGTTACTATTGTTCTTAGAATTATTGTTAAAATCGGTGTGATATTGTTACAAATTTTAATTGACTTTTATTTTAGAAATTAATATATTTAGGTGTTTAGTTTGGTGTCGGCTGATTTTTCGAAATGCGCTCTTCCGCAAGCCGTATGACGATTCCTCAATTTTTACTTTTGCAACACTAATTAAAGCCCTTTTAACGCAAGAGTAGTAACAAAAGGCAATCACCATAGTGACATTTTCAAATAAATAGAACTATAATATTAGTTCTGAGCTATTTTGAAAACATATTTTTCACTGCCAAAATTAAACGTTCACAAAAATAATTTAGTACGTACAAACATTTGACTTAAAATTCGGTACATAGCAGTTAGTGACATGCAAGCCGTTAGCAATCCGTCCAAAATCCACCTGCTTGAATTAAAAAACAACAGCGGGTTTTGCTGACCCAGTTATCCTTGACTGATGTTACAAAGTGCACACTAACAAACTTGTTATACAGCAACTATAACATCAACTGTAGTACATCATGGAATTTGTGTGATGCACGATGCACCTCAACTTAACTGGTGTAAGTACAGTGCCGCCTGGATTAACTCGGTCAAATTATTAATGTCAGTGGTGCAGAACACTGTATCGACGGCGTAAGTTCGCAATCACATATCTCGTTTGCGATTTCTGAAAATCTCCTCCTCTATGTTATTTTTTTACATGAGAACGAATTAAAATCATATACTGAAGTTTTTGTGGAATTTCCTTTGCACAGAGAAGAAACAAGACGACAGTTCCAACGTTAAGACGTTGGAGAGCGTTCACCGTAGCACCTCGTCAATGTGTAAAAGTGGTTTTGCGCGGACGGAAGAGAGCGCTGCAAGACGCTGTTGAACTAAACGTGGAGCGTAACCTAGGAAACATACATATGTACAAGCAATGTCTTGTCATCATAGAGTAAAATATAGGGGGCATTAGTGAAGAGGTACTTTGTACCCACCAATTTTGCGAGAACTACGACGACAAAAAATTTGAACGATGCTTGAAAGAGTCATTAAATAAAAGTACGTTGCAGAGTTTTAAAACGTAGAGATATTAATTTCTCAAAGACAAGCCTACAGGCGTTACATAAAGTGGACAAAATAGGAGAAAAAAGGTAGAAATGGTACATGAATAAAATTGAGAAACTAGGTATTGCTTCCCGCCACGAAAAATGGCGCCGATTCCCATGGAGCAGTGCGGGCCCTCACCAATGGATCCATTAGTAACATACCCGCTGCGAAACGACGGGAAAGAGCGTACACTACTAACGTGGTGAACGCTCAAAATCACAGCAGTTTTGAAGAATTGCCGTTGAGTTGTTTCCCGTTGGAAAAATCAAGTATGACGGAAAGTCTGCGACGCGACGTCGCAAACCGAGTTATGTGATTGCCGACTTAAACCGTCGATATGTATTTTTTAGAAATCCTAGCTATTAGCCAATTTTCACTACAATGACATGCGAACTCAGTCGTGCTTTATTAATCGTGCTTTCGCTATATTTTTAGTGTGTTTCCTTCCTGCAAAAATCTGTCCAAGTAACGTTGCAAAGCACCCATACCTCCTCTAATTTTGCAAGAGCATCCCATATATCTTTGTACCAATCCAATAAAATTTTCCAGGAAAAGCGGACCATTCAATAGGCCCGGTTCTCACTTGCGAAGCAACCATGAGACTATGGAACCAGATCCGAGTTCTGCATTTCCGAAACTCGTGCATCAGGAAGCACCAATGGATATCGTCTCTTTTCGAAGTCCTCCTTCCTGTTGGTATCTTCTGGCTCTTGGTGTACGTCAACGCCCGCAACAAGATAGATCGTATCGAGAGTGAAGAGGCCGTTTACAGGACTTTCAATCGTTTTACGATGATGGAGAGAAGTTTTTTAGACTTCGGGTCGACGATGTATATCCGTTATACTCCAGAGACAACAGCCACGCGGACCCTGATGAATGAGATGATGTTGGTACTACGGGCGGCCATCCCCAAGGACGAAAGTGAGTAGCCTGTCTTTCCCTGAAAACGTCAGAATATTGATCGTAAAACCCGAGAGCCATATGCGTAGCTAGTTCCCCCCAAAAACATACCAAACTTGGTCCTTTTTCCTGTCGCATTAGCCAAGAAATTTACCATAGGATTATCTGGACGTATTTTTGCCAAGCGGAACTATGTGCATTCTGACATGAGCCCTGTTATGTATATATTCTTATAGGTCTCAGGGCTCATGTCTTAATGCACATAGTTCCATTTGGCAGAAATACGTCCTTCTTATTTGCCTCTTAGAGGTAACATCTTATTTTAGATTCATGTTTCTTGAATGCGGTGTCTTAAAATTTCTGCGCCTGCGTTAACTGCTCCGCGCCTTTTTCCTGCTTGGATACACGTAATTTTCATTGTTTTTTGCGAAAAGTATTTCTTAAATAGAGAGTAATAAAGAAATAATATCAAACTATTAAATCCATGATGGTAGGTGATCACTGACCAACACTATTGCCAGCCAACCGAGTTGAGTATAGCTCTCTAATTTAGCCATTGATACTAAAAGACTTTTCTCAATTGTGTAAATATATCCTGAAAGAGATGAAAATTATCTGTAACTATCTTCAAATAGGTAAGGAAATTCTGAGAACATGTTTTTTTCAGAATATAGAGTTGTGACAATGATGAGTGTTATTACAAAAAGTAGATCCCGCTCCGCACTTTCACTCATCGTTTCAAACGAGTTTTCTGGGGAAACAACAGGTTTGGAGTGACATGCACTCCAGATTTCAGTGCGAGACTTTTCAAAATGAATGTTGTGTGTTTAGAGATCGGGTCCGTAATGATAGAGTGCGTCAGATAATAAGAGTCAAAAATGACATCGTGTTCAACGTCATAACGAAACAGCCTGTCTGGTATCAAGCGTGTCAGCGTGTCTGATGTCAGCGTGTCTGGCGTCAGCTTGTCTGGTCATGTCAATAGGATGACGGAAGAGAGGCTGCCAAAAATTATGCTTCATTGGGTTCTTCCTGGGAGGAGACGAAGGGGACGCCTGGTAAAAGGGTGGCAACAGGGGGTTTTGGATGAGATGAGGGAGTACCAACTCCCTGATAGGTTGTGGGAGGACCGAGTTTTGTGGCGGTTTGGCGTCGCAGAGCTGCAGAGGACGGTGTGAGAGCGACTCGTATAAATGTATGTATATTTTGTGTTTCGTGCTCTATTTACGTGTTTCCGTTTGTGTGGGTTTGCAGCTATGGCGTTCAACGTGACTAGCGCTGCCTCGGATGCAGGTATGGAGGACTTTTTCTTCAAATCGTTTGGCTTAGGGAATTACTGGGCACTCCGAGCTCCAGGATTTGGTATCTACTTCTCAAATCTCAACCCAAATAAACCTAACGAACTGCCGAATGACATTGAATTCACAATTCGGCCTGTGAGTGACATGTTCAGGACGGCCGAGTTATTCAGATCGCCCGACTTCCTGTTTGGAGGTGAGGTTCTTCATTTAGAAATTTTCCTATTGCAAATATCGTCCTTTTCTAGGCAAAAAAACGTAACTTCTTTTCAACGATCCTTAATTTTTACTCGCAAATTGTATTTTTCCCGAGAACTGCCGGCAATTGCTAACTGAATATATTGAAAAAAACTAGCAAATTTTGAATACAAATGGAAAAGTAACACATGAACGGTGAAATTGCAACAATGCGTAGCTCGGTTGCAGTATTTTTAAATATCCGCTAGAATTTTATTTTTTAAGAGGAAAGCAAACTAACACCATGACTTGAAATTTGCACAGAATAACTTCATGAAGAGAAGAAAAATCATTGACATTTTCGAAAAATGACGTTGAGTAGTTTTCCGTGTAGGAAATAAAGTATGACAGGAAGTCTGCAACGCCGCGCAGTGGATCGAGTCAATCAGAGAGGTGGGACATGATATTTTTGACAAAAACTGCAAGTTTTGATGTTTTTCCGTCACATTTTAGACTTTAAGGGGTGCTTCCTGAAGAAAATTTTACGAGAAAACCATTGGAACCCCTTCTAAGACCTCAAAATTTTGTATTAATGGAGTTATCAGCTTTTAAAATGTCCATATTTTGTCCGACCTCTCCGACTGACTCGATCCATTGTGCGCCGCCAACCGAGATACGCATTTCTGCAGTTTCTCTATTGATATTTTCTTGACGATCATATGTGACGAAGTCATAAAGAATGTGCTCTAACGTGAAAGCAAAATGAGATGACACTATTGAAACTCACTGATAAAAAAAGCTTTTCTAAGAATATTGGTAAAATGTATAGGAAATATGGATTTAATCCAGCTTCAAAAATTAAAATACCCTAAACCGAGCCCTTCATAACGTAAATAAAAACAATAATCGAACGAAGAAAGTATATTACTTCGCATCCGGAGTGTATCAGGTAAATTGCAGCGATTGCAATAATTACGAAGGAAAGTTAGAAATGAGTTTCCTTCAAATATTCGAAGAGCATAGGAACGACAAGAACTCTCAAATTTTCCAACACATTAAATCATCCGAACCTACCCCGGAAAATTTTTGAAATTTTAACTCTATTTAAGCGTATGTTGAGGCATCCGTGGGACTAATCTTCCTTCAATTTTTGCACAAAAATTACCCAGTTTTCTGCATCTTAAGGTTATAAAACTTTCAAATTGTTGCATTCAATAGGTTATTCTGTTTATTTTCTCACCGATAACCACTCTTCTGTGTAAACATTTCGAAAAAATGTTCAAAAAAATACCAGAATCATTGTTTTTAATTAGGAAAAGCCCATGTAAAGAAAAGTGTAATATAATAAGGAAGAACGTGACTATGAGTGATTTAACATTTGTCATCTACTAAAAAATAGAGGTATGAATTTGAAGAAATCAATTGCATCCAGATTTTGTAGAGCAATTCGACTGAATAATGGACTGAGAAGAAAAAGCTAACTGTTTGAGCGCGGGATTATAATTAAAAACTATGTGCATCAAAAAAGTTGTTTTTGCACCATCCAGAATTTCTGGAGGGGGCAGGGCCAGATGATACTATTTCCACTTCTGGGGGGAGCCAGGCTCCCACTGCCCCCCCCCCCCTTTGTACGCCTCTGGGAAATGTGCATCATCAAACTTAGATTCGCGTCTTTTCTAATGGTCCATTGGAACGGAATATTGGAAGTTTTTCAAATAGCTGCATACTGTGTATGCAAGACATTCTTTTTTACAATATAAAGAATTCTGGGAAATTGTAGTACATCCATACAAATCAATGAACCGGTGATTCTGATAAAAAAAAAAATAAATAAAAAAAACCATTCAAATTGTAGGACTTGATTCATCTAGGTGATTATCAGGTAGGAAAGAATCCTCTGATATATATTTTTTTTTGTCTTAGTATGACGAAACTAATTAAATAATTGCGTATGATGCTTTCAGTGATTTGCCGTTGTAATTTACAAACAGTTTTTTTGCAGGTAAATCAGGCACATCAGTTTACCAGAACTACGGATTTTTAGCCATTAATTGGGCACTGAATGAAGCATTCCTAAGACTAAGTGTTCGGGACGCATCTACGTTACCAAAGGTACGACTGAGCACATGTATTCATATAATGTACAATCAGTTTTAATACTAAACAAAGTAAATCTTTTACATTATTAGGAATATTAAAATTTCGCTAGCGTTCAAATTGAATTAACATTCAAGATCTTGCGAAAAACTGAAATCATTTGAAAGCAATGTAATAATCTTAAGATTTTAAAATTAAAGTCCCCGATCTATGCCCTCGGATTGAAAAAAAATGTCTCTAGCTAAAAGACCGGAGAAAATACGATTCACCAACTGAATATCAATTCTTTTACTTTTTGAGGTTGCTTCTCAATTTTCATCAATTGAATAATTTAAAGATATATGTCCACGAATTTTGGCGAAATGAAATTAATATGTTTTTAAAACCTGCTTCTTCTCATCTTAAAAAAGCAAAAAATAAGAAATAAATCCATTTATCAAACTTAATAGCAACTAATTAATGGTTTTTCGTACCTCTTTATATGTATGAATATAAAAAGCTATCATTTACGTTTTGACAAAACTTAAATGTTATATGAAAGCAGGGGAAAAGAGCATATCTATTTTATGGGAACAACTTTTTTTCTCTCGGTGTAAATATTTTCTTCCTTACGTAAGAAATATCCTTTTTGATTGAAAATGGATATTTCTGGGTACTTTAATACAAGCATCTTTATATCTTGATGTGAGGTGAGTCGAGCACGCGACAAAGTCAATCAGTATAATATGATCTAGAGAGAAAACACATTTTTATTTATATATTTGTTTTTTTGAAATTTCAGATCTTCATTAAGGAGTTCCCTGTTCCCGCTTCGAGTATAGACCGACCAATTTATAATTTAATTAACTTTATACCTACCTGTTGTATTTTCATTATCCCGCTTGTTCTTTTTTTTATACTAAAGAACGTTATTTCTGAGAAGGAAACTGGAGCAAAAGTAAGTCACACCTCTAATATTAAATTTCTTCAATATTTTAACTTTTTAAGAAAAAAAAATCGGAGCTTGAGGGATTTATTTTAATTACAACGTTGCAAACTTTTGCATGAAAATGTATTTAATTCATCACGGTTTCGCATTTTCTTTAAAAATTGTTTGTGTACTTTTAATGTGTTTTGACAATAATACCCTGATTTTTTTTTTTTTTTTTTATCAAAATAACACGCACCCGTTGAGGAGTGAAGGAACCAAACTACCAGATTGGACTTAAATTTGACGATGTGATTAGAGGTCACTTGGCTCTAACCCTTTCAAACATAAAGATGAGATCATCCTTTATCCAAAGGCCCGCCACAAGGGGAGGATACTGGGTCCCTGGTATGTACCGGGGCCCGGGTCCCGAAGGGGGCCCGTGTTACCCGTGAAAAACCACTACGAATTCACATGCAACCCTTGTTTCGTAAGAAAAAGTGAAAAATTTACCCTAAAAATTTCGCAAAAGGTGAATAGATTTTCAGAAACACGCTGGGGCACTGTAGAATTCTTCTTAAATTTTCAAAGAAGTATACTTCTTGGAAAATTTCTATCTATTTTCAAGATTTTCAGTACAGAGGGATATTTTTAGTAACTAAGTTTCATTTTCTTCCGTCGTCAGATGCTAAGAGTCTCCAGTCTGGGCATCCTCGACTTCAATGGGTCATGGCTCAACTCCCTTGCCATACACAAACGAAGGGGGAGTCCACGGGGGCCTGGCCCTCTTAGAACTGAAAATAGTATCATATGCCCCCCCCCCCCCCAAAAAAAAATAAAAATTTTCCAGATGTTTTGAATGCAACAATTTGCAAGTATTTTGTGCTGAAAGTAGAAAAAAAATACATGAATATTCCGCAGAAATTGATGGAAAAATTATTTATGGAAGCTTCAAAATGCGTCCGATTAGTCGTATAAATTCTAAAATTTCTCTGGGGATGCCCCTCGGACCCCCCCCCCTCTGTGCTTGGGACCCGGACCTTAAAACTGGTACCAGGGCCCAAGATGGGATGTGGCGAGCCTGCATGAAGGCTATTTCCATTTAAATCTTCCGTCACATTCATACGGCGCAATGATACAACTATTTGAACTCTCCGGAATGCGTGAGGTATCACGCCGCATTTGAAGGCGTTTTCAAAACAGCCAAGTTCCGATACCCGGATTATCATTATGCATAATTCATATTATATTGTTTAAATTTCTAACCACCTGTTTAATTATAATCCTCCTATAAAAACCAGCCATTTGCTAAATACAATTCTAGCTGAAGCGCACTTATGCGCATTCATCACTGCAAAAATCTCAAAGGAAATCGACACGCCCAGCGTGCATGGAGGCTATTTCCATTTAAATCTTTCGTCAAATTCTTACGGCGCAATGATACAACCATTTGAACTCTCCGGAATGCGTGAGGTATCACGCCGCATTTGAAGGCGTTTTCAAAACAGCCAAGTTCCGATACCCGGATTATCGTTTTGCATAGTTCATATTCTTTTGTTATATTCCGTGCCACTCGTTTATTTTTAATCCTCGTAGAAAAACCACCCATTTGTAAATACAATTCTGGCTGGAGCGCACTTCAGCTATGCATTCAGCACTGCAAAAATGTCAAAGGAAATCGACTATCCACGAATCCTCGACTTCAATGGCTCATGGCTCAACTCCCTTGCCATAGACAAACGAAGGGGGAGTCCAGGGGGGCTTGGCCCTCAAAGAACTGAAAATAGTATCATATTCCCCCCCCCAAAACAAAAAAAAAAAATAAAATAAAAATTTTCCAGATGTAACAATTTGCAAGTATTTTGTGCTGAAAGTAGAAAAAAAAAACATAATTATTCCGCAGAAATTGATGGAAAAATTCTTTATGGAAGCTTCAAAATGCGTCTGATTAGTCGTATAAATTCTAAAATTTCTCGGGGGATGCCCCTCGAACCACACCCCCCCCCCTCCGTGCTTGGGGCCCGGACCTTAAAACTGGTACCAGGGCCCGAGATGGGATGTGGCGGGCCTGTTTATCCATGAGACAAATTGTCTCAAACGCTAAACAGGAGAACAAAAAATCGAAGTGAAATTATCGCGCTAATTTATGATAGTGTCGATAGCCTGCTACTCAACTAACATGAACCCTCGTTGGTAAATGTTTCGTCGCCACCCGCCAGTGGCGTGGCGTATTTTCCGATTTATCGGCTGATCTTTCATTTAAAGCTGTGGAAAAGAATCGATGACCAGGGTACTCAGCAAACACCTTAATATAGCCTTTACCACAGATTCAAATGGGGATTTGTTGATAGTCGATCATTCACGTCTCGCTGTTGCCACCCGCAAATAAGCAATGGCTGTCAAAGAGATCAAACTCCATATTAGTACGACCTTCTCATAAAAGTTCACATCGCCTGACTCCTCTTGAAGCCTACGTTGATCTAAGAAAATAAAATGAACGAGAGGATACGAATTGGATAAAATGATAGGTAAGAAGCATTAATGAAACTTGAAAATAAATTTCAGGAGCTCATGAAGATGATGGGCTTAAAGAGCTGGATGAACTGGGTTGGTTGGACGATGGCTGTTCTCATGACCCAACTTCTGGTCATTACCAAATGTGTTGCTCTCCTCGTCATCCCTGTTTTTGGGCCTGCAATACTCCAGTCTTCAATTACTCTCATTTGGGTCTTTCTCATCTTGTACCTTTTTGTCGCCATCAGCTTTTCGTTTCTTATGTGCCCAATTTTCAAGAGACGTGAGTAAAAATTAATTTTATTATTATTTTTTTTCTTTACGATCTGATGAGAAAACTTAAATGGACCGTGTTTAACAGAAAGGAACCAAGCCACATGCGTATAGTTCAAAACGCAAAGTAGCGCCTTACATGACCGCAGGATACTTCATGCATCGCGTGTACAGCACAGTGCGCTCAACGCATAGTATAGCGCCTTACAAGTCTATTGGATACTTCATGCATTGCCCGTATACTACGGTGCGCGCTCATGTCGTTGAGCTGTCGTATTTTTTTAGTGTCGAAACTACCCCGGTGTGCACAATTTCCGAACAGTGCGCGTTGCAAGCTTGCGATCCTAGGATCACAAGATTGTAGAGATTTTGCTATCCTATATGTTTTCCGGTGAATTTATAATTTAAAAGTGGAAATTTTTCAAGTTGGAATGTCCTGTCGTCCGGAATACCCTGAGCTTTGCTAACTTCTAGGAAGGGAAAGAGGGACAATTTTTTTATCATAAATGTGGCAAAATCTCCGGGGAGATATTCTTGGTATCACATTCACGCAAAAATGAACTTTGGCAATCCAACCTAACTTCGGCAATTTTTGCAAAATCGCCTGGGTAATTCCATGGAGCATTTATTTGTGGGAGGGGGGGAGTCCACTGCAGCACCGCGATGGGCCGTTCTGTTGTTGATTTTTCCGGCCGCTTTGAGGAGCCAGTACACCTCTGATCTTAATTGCATTGCAGGGACTCAGAAATTCGGATGGTGTTGTTTTTTTTTCCTTCTTTTTCTTCTTTTTTATGAAAATAATAATAACAGTAGAATGGACGAAAATAGTGGAAAAAACAAGGATAAAAACGGGAAAAAATGCTAAAAATACACAATTAATAAAACCTGAGACGTTTCGACTCAAAACTGAGTGCTTTTTAGTCGGAAACAATAAAAATTTAAAAGAAAAAACGATAAAAAACTGGAGCCCTACATGGTGGGGGCCGGGATCTGAGAAAAAGAGCAACGAAAATACCGGGTCGGAATTCTCATTGATTTTGTTTAAGATCAGTCAACTGCTTTTGTTTTTCTGCTCGGTTTTTACGATTGATTAAAGAAAAAATATGTAATATTGATTGCAACGATTCAGAAAATAGAACCATGTAAAATTGCTTTGGGTTTAATAAAAAGAAAATGGAACGAACGGAAATATCGCGTCGAAATGTCCAATGATTTTATTTAAGATCATTCCGAAAAATTCCTCGAAACTCCAGAAAAACTGTACGTATATTCTTTAAAAAAAAACCCTGAAATACAACAAACCATGAGGAGTGGCGTGTAACGTTGCAATCAAATTTAAATACGCCTTATTTTCCTCAAGCACTCGTCGGCGGCGTTTGAATTAATTTACTTCTTTAATAACTTGAACATGGTTGTCTTACGATTTGTACGTGTATTTTTCTCCCACTGATTGGCAGCCGCGTAGCGGCCACTGGCCCTTAGTCCGTTTTCAATATGTGTGGCCCTTATCCGTCATCTGGTTGTTGAGCCGGTATGTCATTTGAACGCAGAATAATTCTTAGAGGCAGGTTGAAATAAAAAGCGCTCCCTATTGGCTAAGCGCTTGATTGCCCCATTTTTACTCGCAAACATTACCTAAAAATTTCACGACTGATTCAGGAAGAATCTAAAGATTTTTCAATTCCTGGTTTAAAATACCGATTTTTCAATTTCACTCGACAAAATTCGTTTCTCTCAAAAGTATGCCTCCAAGATGGGTCCAAGGACCTCTTACTCCAAGTAGTGAGAGGTTCTACGCTCATTTTGATATTTCTTATTGATTCAATTCCTTGTGATCAATTTTTCTCCGATATAACGATCATTTAATTTTTTTGTAGCAACTTTGGCCATATGCATTGCTTTCATCCTTTGGGGAGCGACAGCTTATATGAAGATAACCATTAAGGAGAGTTCGCCATTTCACCTTATTAGCTATGTCTCGCTTTTGTTACCCAACTTGGCTCTTGTGCGTGGTTGGGAGACCATCAGTTACTTTGAACCAAGAGGTAGGTGGCTCTTGTAAATTAATTTAAATATCGGCGCATATAATGTAATAATACGCGACATTTTACAGTCGAAATTTAGAATATTGATATTGATATTGAGGAACAATAAATTTCTTCCACATGAAAGTGTCGCAATAAAATAAAATACACAATGCTCCCTTAGAATTCTAAAAAGGTGCATATTCCCTGAAAATTAGACTGAAATGATGAAAGCCATTGATCATTTATTACACTCCTTCCGAAATGTTATTTTGCATTTCTATGAGACAAATTAGTCTGATAATATCAATATGAGGTTATAAAAAGGGTAAGGTGTAGATATTTTCTTGAAAGGAATGCATCAGTTTGGAAAATATGATTCAAATTGTAATAAATTTCTTCATAATTGATATAATCTGATCATATCATGAGACATTAGCCAAAATTAGACGTATGTCAGTTAAATACTAGTTTTAAAAGGGGAAGAAAGTGATATTTCTCATGTGTTATTCACATCTCCACAATTTTTATGAGACAAATACATTTTTTCCCTCTTGAAAAAACAAATTCAAACAAAAAGTTCAACGTGCAATCATAAGAAAACCCACAAAAAAAAAAAACTAAGAAATGTGAGCTCATGAGAATGAATGTATCACATAGCTCATATTTCGTAGCGAATGTCCGCCGTTGCTAATTTAGATTCAATCACATCAATGTCTTCAAGAGTTTCTCGAAGAAATGTATGCTGGGTATAAAAATTAAGAAAAGTATAACGTTTGTAACAGGTGGTGCATGTTGGTCCGATTTCTTCACCAAGCCGGCCGGTTCAGATCTCCTGCCTTTATCGAGGGTTTTTGGGTGCTTCCTATGGCAGTGCCTCGTATTTAGCATCCTTGCCTGGTATTTGGATGCTCTCAGGCCTGGACCTTATGGTATTCCCAAAGGTTATCTTTTCTTTTTAAAGGTATAATTATGGTATTTCGTATGCTTCTAACCACCATTCAACCGTGTCTGGTTCCTTCCCGGTGCACCGGAACAGTAGGGAGGATTAGTTCAGAACTTGAAATTCCAAATGTATTGCAATGCAAATGTGTCGAAGATAACGACACATTAAAATTAAAGAATTTTCTCCTTCGAACAAGCACAAAGTTGTTTATAATAATTGTCAGTTTATACTTTCTTACCGCTTAAATGCATTTTTTTAGATTATTGTGATGAAAATAATGATGATCGAAATAATTTCTGGTCATAAAGCCGATTTTTGAAATTCTCACATTACGGTGAAAGATTAAAAACGAGAGGTTCTTTGGCATCTTTTTGCTGCCGAAAAGTTGTCAGTGGAATCATAACACTGAGGCTGAAACCTGTATCTTGAAATACGCACTTGTCAAATCTGTATAATTTGTTCGTAAAAGCGTTTGGCCGCAAACAAAAATGCACAGATATTGTTTTAAAAATTGCTAACACAAACCATTGTGCGCCGTTTAAGACCTCTTGGCTCGCTTTTTAGGGATAATTCAGGCACGCCATAATACATTACATTGGCTCTCCTTTTTCGGCTTTAAATGCACAATTGAAAAGAAATAATTGACACACCTCAACCCACTCTAATCTCCAAAATGTATAAATGGCCCATTGATTTCCATCGGTGGTACTTGTCACTTCCTGAATATTACCTGTAAAAGGATTTGTGCAAATTCCATCCTAAACGTTTTGTATTTTCCTTGTCTAGAAGTCTTATTGGGTGACAACCAGGACATACGAAGAAATGGATGACTCAAGTCTCACCAACAATAAAAATTTTGAGCTCGTGCCGCAAAATCTGAAACCAGGAATACAGGTTCGCGGCCTGACAAAATCATTTCAGAAGTTTGTGGCTGTGAACAACATTTCTGTGAATTTTTACGAGGGGGAAATAACTGCATTGTTAGGTCACAACGGTGCCGGCAAAACAACAACGATGTCCATGCTGACAGGTAAATTTCCGTCTGAAAAATGTATATATTTTTTATTTATTAGCTATCCATGCGGAAAGGAGTCATTGCACTGAAAAACTCAGGATTTCGTCAAAATGAAAAATTTTACATGCTTTTGAAGAAAGTAGCTTTCAAAGGCTAGAAAATTTCAGGCATCGACTCAGAGAATTTTAAATGAATATTGAGAGACTACAATTTTGATTAATATATTTAGTTTTTATTTTTGCAGTTATATACTTAGACCTGCTCTAGTAATTAAAATAACGTGTATTCATTACTCAAGGTGGCCATGCACTAAACTACTCAAGGAGAATAAAGAACAATAATTAAAAAAAATCGACAAATGATAATTAATTGTAAAACATTTTAATTTCGTACTCTGACCCATTGTTTGGGCTCCTAACTTTAATTTTTGTCTCTTTTTTTTCATACATCTTCTAAGGTATGATCCCTGCTGACTCTGGAAAAGTGATCGTCGATGGATATAACACATTTGAAAACATGGAGGAATTTCGTCAAAGTCTAGGGCTTTGTCCACAACACAACCTGTTGTTTAGCTTTTTGACAACGCTTGAGCATCTGATATTTTTTGGACTGGTATAGAACTTCTTTCCTCACTTAACATACATTATTTCTAATTTTTACTTGAGTTTATTATCCTATCTCAGGATTGGATCTCCAGCTTTCTAAAATGCCCCATCTCTGTTGGCAAAAATAACTCGACTACATACCGTACGCAATTTTTTCATTTTGATATTTGCGAGTGTATCGCATCAAAGACTTTGATTCAAATCTTTCAAACTCAATTTTGCAAAAACCGCTCTCCTGAAAACCGGACTTGTATTTGTTTGACTCCTTCCCATGAATGGTCAAATACAGCAATTTCATCTTTACCTCTGAGCACTTAATTTGGACACTTTAATTAACACTTTCAAGAATCAAGCGGTTTACACCATGATCAGCTCAAACAACTGCTTGTTGAAACTACTTAAGAACTCATTGGATGATCAGAACCAACTATACCTTCTTGCGAGATAAGTGCGTATCGCTGAAAACTAATTAACTTATAAGTGATGGTTTCAGTAATTGATCCAGAGAATATTTGTTAAGGATTCGGAATGATTTTAATGTCATGCCAATTATAGACTTATTGTTAGTCCAACGTAACATTTCTACCTCTCGGCTACGTATAATTCAGCGTAAACATATACACTGCTAAATCAACCTGGATTCAGATTCCATAAACGATTGTTGTTTCCATTTTCCAGCTGAAGGGCTTATCACGGGAACAAGCACATTCCGAGGCCATGCACTTAATGGAACTGCAAAACATCAGCAACAAAGCTAATGTTTTGCCCGACAAACTTTCTGGTGGAATGAAAAGAAAGCTCTCTCTAGCGATAGCTCTGATTGGAGGTCCAAAGGTAAATGATCAAAGAAATCATACTACTTACTAACACTCATGACCTTCTAATAGTTTTTACACATAAGTTAGATAGTTAATTAAATTAGAGACATTCAGTATCTTAGGCTATAAATTTATTTACAGAAAATATTACAACATGTAATATTGCGAGTTTATACCTATATGCATAAAAATATACAAAAAATATATAAACAAATCTGAAAAGATTTTGCGAATAAAATAAATCAGGAACAATAAATAGATTTTAATATTCAAATCCAATGTTGATATACAAATCTAGTAGAACATTGTTGGGATTAATCGCACTTCAAAAATGTTCTACGGAATCAGAGCAAGATGTAGGGATGGGACGCTTTTCATCCAGTAGACGTATATAATGTTGCGTCTCTCGGCATTGAAGGAGTTTTATCCTCTAATGCATTTCAAAATCTGCACTTTTGATGCTCGCGTTGTGCGTACCTCACGCGTTTAAACAAAAATGGACATCGATGAGTAACCATATTGAGAACATTATATTCTGCAGTAGTGATTCAAGTAATACACATCTGAGTCTGTTAACATTAGTAAAACAGAGTTATTGAAAGTATTCGTGTAGTATGAAAACATTCCTAGTTCTTAACTTTAGCCACGGATTTGACATCGACAGAGGACAGAGTTTTATGAAACAATATTTGAAAGAATCACTCAAATTTCCAGATTGAAACATGGCCTTGAAAATGGCATACATTCCATTCTTTCCAAATTGGGATAGGTAGTTTTTTTTTGTTTTTTTTTTTATGTTATCAAATAGTCGATTGTATTTTAGACTGTCATCGCTGGTTGTGGAGGAAAAAACAAATCAGCTATGCCTAAATTTCCAATACTTTTCAGACTCTATGAAGTTAAGAATGAATTATTTCCTTGTCGGTTGCAGATTCTGATGCTAGACGAACCAACTTCCGGTATGGACCCAGAATCACGGAGAGAGATGTGGAATTTACTTTTGGTATGCCCTTGCATTAGTTTGTTTTAGAGTGTGATTCGATTAATTTTTGGTTTACCTAAAATTGGACGCAGTTCAAAGAAAACACTTTTGAATGTACCCCGTGACATGCGCACTGGAGACACAGTTGAGTCTTCAAGTGTTGTTTATTTCAACCCTTAGATGCCCAAGCCGGGTTATTACGAACCGAGGCTTGCTAAAAACAGCCCGCGTATTTTTTCTCCGGAACCGGAGCGATACTCTAATGGGAGCATAAGGCAAAGCATCCAGCGTTCACGCCTCGCGCCATCGGTCATCGTGCCTTCAATTTTGCAGATGCAATATGGGCATCTATCGAGCACGTATAGTTGCACTTCTGCGCCATCATCAACACGTGTCTTTCCAAGTTTTGGGCATCTAAATTGAGTTATACAAACATAAGGTGCTTTAAGTCGAGTTCTAGCTTGCATGAAATTGTGTACGCTTGATGTGAAACAAATTCACTGCGTAGCTCATAACCAGATAATCTTTTTTTTTTTTTTTTTTTTTTTTGTTAAAATTTTCTATTACGGATCAATGTTTGCAGAGCATTCGAGGTGAACGCACGATTATCCTAACGACGCATTTTATGGAGGAAGCTGACGTCCTAGGGGATAGAATTGCAATCATGGACCATGGCAATATCATGTGTTTTGGAACTTCAATCATGCTGAAGAATTTATACGGTAAGATAGAAACCTAGATGCGATAGCTTTGATTTAAGATCAATTTATCTTTTAAATTGATCCTCCACCATTTATCATTGCGTGCTTACATATTTTATTTTATGTAAAATATAAATAAAAAACTCTAATTAATGCACATCTTCACGCTGGTACAATAATTAATTTGTGTATGCCTACTTATAATCTTCTTTGATTTTTACGTCAAAATACTGAATCAAATATTCGGACTTTTTTTTTTATCTCAATCCCATGCATCAATCAGCTAACGTCAATCCTGTGCTGGAAAAAAATGAGTTCTATTAACTGCGAGTATGAAGGTCCATATTTCCCGCACTATATGGAGTGAGTATACTAAGTGTTATTTTCATTGATCTCATTTTTCTTTCCTATTAAAATGAGTTTTCTTTTATTGGCCTGCATTTAAAAAAAAAAAAAAAAAAAAAAAAAAAAAAATCTTGGTTAGATTTGAGATATTTGATCGTCTTTCGTCTTAAATGTTGAAACGTTTTTGAGTTTTTCTGACTCTGGTCCCTATTCCCTTGAAAAATTCATATATCGAGATCATAGTAGCATCTCGTTTACCCTTGTTAACAGTGGATAAATGAAAAAAATTAATTTTTTACAGGCGCAGGATACTATCTGAATATCTTGAAAAAACGAAACGCAATTGTTGATCGAGATCTACTCACTTCGGCCATTCGAGAGTTCGTCTCCGAAGCAAAGCTGAAGAGTGACGAAGGACCAAAATTGACCTACGTTTTACCTATAGAGGCCGTAGACTCTCTTCCCGACATGTTTGCTCACCTCGAGTCGACGAAAGATACGCTCGGGATTGCCACCATATCTGTTGCCTGCACCACCCTCGAAGAAGTTTTCCTCAAGTAAGTTGTTAAAGTTTCCTGGGCAGCAAGTTTGGAAGAGAGCTTTTTTTATTATTTTTTTCACCTTTTCATATAAAATAGTTAAAGTCTTTTATCTTTTTTTAGAGGAAGAATGTTTTATCATTTAGTCGAAGAAATTGAACTTTTCGACTTTTGTCCTCTGCCTTAATATGTAGTTTTGAGTTGTGTTAGTTGATTTCCCTTCAAAAACTGTTTTATCTTGATTTTATATATCTATATTTTATCTTGATCCGTGACTAGAGTCACGGGTCTAGAGGCCGCTAAAATATCTATAGCCCCGAAAAAATGGTGGTAAGGGAGCAAGACATGCCATAAAAAAAAATGATAAATTCGATAGAAAAATGAGTTGAGGGGAGAAGGTGATGGAGCTAGAAAAATGAGCCGGGGGGAGGGGTAGAATAAATGCTGGCAAAAAAATTAGAACTAACCTAGCAATGATTTATTAAAAAAAAAAAAAAAAAAAAAAAAAATTGAAATAAAACATCAGCTGATAGAAAACAAAGGTTACCAAAGAAACCAAGGAATGGAACTTTCATAAAAACAGATTAGTGGCAGATAACCGTGGCAGAGGCCCAAGCCGCATCTAATCATATAAAATGTATAAAAATACATCTGTAATATGTGTAGCAAAACACAGAGAGAAAACAAGAAAAGTAACGCATTGTCGCGCCGGATAAGTGGTGAGCGGATAATAGCTGTATTACTATACTGCCGTGCTAAGGAAAAATGCCGTATGAACATTTGAGAGTTGCTCAATTTACTTCGATATAATGTTTATTTTTGAGGAAATTTATGAATATTTTTCCTTCAAAATTTCAGAATCTTTAGGTGAAATTGCAAACAAAATTATCCGAAAAATTGGGAGGAAAATGTTCATAAGTTTACCAGAAAATTAGCGTTTTATGAAAGGAAATTTGGCAACGCCTGAAGGCTCATACGGCGTTTTTCCTCAGCACGGCAGTATATATATTCTTGTTTGCTGAATCACACCACAATTTCTGCTCGAGTTACACCAATTGTGCCTGAACAGCACAACCAATGAAATTTTGTGTTTATTCGTTGTAAATTATACTTCAAAAAAAAAGTTTGTTTCTGAAGTTCAATCATAAGCGGTTGGTCTACAAATAAAATCGAACAAGTCTCTTTATATTTCAGAGTTGGAGAAATAGCTGAAGGGGAGAGGCGCGATGCTGAAAATGGCAATGCAAACGGCCAGGAAAGCAACTACTACCAAATCCACAATGCTGATGGTGGTAAGTTTGATTACAATACTCATCGTAATTTTTTATGTGCTGAGAGTTGCAACTTATCAAGATTCGTGTCATTTATTTTGTTTCACTATTTTTTGGAGGCGGAAAAGTAGATCTTACCGGTTGCCAAGTATTTATAAAATAACTCTGGGTCTCATCGAATAGATCATTTTTTTATTTCGCTGATGAAACCAAGTAATTTGTGAATTTAGTATAATTTTAGGTGAAATTAAATTAATGATAATAAGGTCATTTAGGGATGTAATTGAGGTATTGAATACAATGTAAACTTTGATCATAACCCTTTTTTGTCAATAGATTACATCCAAGTGAAGTACCCGGCTCTATTGTGGCAACAATTCGTAGCCTTACTGGTAAAAAAGCTCCTGTACAGCTACAGACGTCGCACGATGTATATTATATTTGTAAGTATATAATGGCGGTTTATATTTTTAAAGGTAGTAGGTTTGTAAGTACTTTCAACTCATAATAGATCAATTTCTTTTAGAATTGTACCTGATTTTGTAGGAACCATTTCGTGAAAGAAAAAAATGAGGAAAATTACTTTTTTGATGGATCAAAATGCAAGTTTTGTCAAATCCACCCACTTTCATATGAAACCGTAAGAATAATCAAAAGATTCTCGGATTATAGCACCTCATTACGGTGTTTTAAAATATTTGTTCTCGTTCCATCTTTAAAAAAATAAAATAATACTCACTAAGATATTGTACACAATTTTCAAGGAATTTAATTTAATTCTATAGATTGAGGACGAGTAGGCATCCTTCAAGAAGAAAAATGTGATGGCAAAGCTGCAATTCACAAACTGAAAGGTATAGTTCAGTATCCTCACCATTGGTACAAAGGCAATTCATGCAAAGTGACAAAATTGGATATCCCCCAATTTAAACCAAATCGTACGTACAACTTTCAACATGTGAACACGACCATACTAAAATCCATTGATGCCCAAATACAAGCTATAAATTACCGTCTTCATTTTTTTTTTTAAATCATCACGTGACATCTTATCAGTACATACTATTCTTCATACATGCCGCATTTAGAACGAATTACGTGGAGTGGATTTCAACGGAAGAAAACGATGCTGCGAAATTGTGCGGATTACCACTGCATCAATCTGCTATCGCAATTTTTCCATATTTCCGAACGAAGAGGAAATTGGATCGAATCTGACAACGGTATAAATCAGTAAAATAAGAGAAAAATCACTAACTATTGATATTTAGATAAGTTCTATTTGCTATAATTTCAGGGTCTGGTCCCGGTTATCGCAGCACTATTTGCAAACCTCCTCTTGCTAGGACAGAAAAGGCTTGGTACGTCAGGACCGCCAAAAATAAGGCTGAACTCGGAACTGTACAAATCCATGCGTGTGCTGTACAACGCAGCAGAATCAAGTCCATATACTGCACAGATGAAACAACTCATTAGCCCGCAAGAGGCTTTGAAAAGCGCTCCCTATGATGATATTGATACCTGTAAGTGCGGTTATTTGAACTACTATTATCTATTTTCCTCTGCAATTTATCACCTCTAACCGTCAAACACGTGATTATGGATGCTCTGTCCTTAGGGATCTCCAATCACAGATCTACTCACCACAGTCAAAAGGAATACAAACCCCTTAACATGCGATGAACCCAATGTCGCTAACAAACTTCTGAAACTCTTTGCCTCTCTTAATTTAAAAATCTAAATTTTTGTATATACACCTATTTTCCAAATTCATTGTAAAGACGCTAATAGCCTGTGACGCTGAATGTCTTTAAATATATTAACCAACTAACCAACTAACTAACTAACTATTATCTATTTTGCACTGATAAATTACATTTTAATCAGATACTTTTGAGCTCTGGAGATGAGAAGTGAAGAGACAATATACTACTCATGTGCATAATGCAGGAAATGCTTTTAATGGCAATCGACATTTTTGTCATGCATGGGAACGGAGTTCCCCATGATATTACAATCGTTCCGTTGCTTTCGCTATGGGATTCCCTATACCTCTGCGACCTTGAGCGTTTCGCCCAGTCTCCGATTTTTGGTTGATTTTCCGATGTATCAAAAACCGTTGTATTTTTTAGCCAATCATGTCTCTACGTGAAGTTGTGTTGATTGCTAAAATTCGCTTTCAGCGAGTTTTTTTCCACCTCGAGATGTCGTGTCTGACTGGTAAATCTGCGCAGAACCACGAAGTTCCGTTTTTAGGCAAATTCTTTTTTTTGGGAGGTTCTGATTGGTTATTTTTCGCCATCAGTTTTCTGTTCGTTGGTGCAAAAGATCGCCTACCCCGTTGCTCTTGAGAAGCCGCCATTATCCCACCTCAAATTTGAAAAATAGAAATAAAGAAATAATAACCATCGTACAAGGTGGAAAATTGTTCTGGAGGACTCGTTACGGACAAAGAAGTCAAAATCAGAGCTCGATTGATTGATTTAATTCATGGATAAACTAATATCGCCTCAGCTTACTGCCGCGATGACATATGCATGTTGAGATGAACCCTGGGAGACATGAAAACAGTGCGAAGCATGCATGGCTCCTACAGCAATGTGCTTGGTTCATTTCTCTCAGCAACAAAGCGTCGCAAGGTCTCTTGTGATAAGCCCCGCCCATTGCCCGAGTCTTTTGTATGCTATTTTTACTCCATGCTACCCTGATCCGTGATAGCCTAGTTGACTAAACTGCCCCATATTTTTGAGTAGGTGCGGGCAACGGGCGATCGGGAGTTCGATACCCGACGATGGGTGTTACTTTTTAATGGTTGTATTGAATGTTTTAGACTAATCATCAAAAAATAATTAATAGTAGATGATAAATGTACGAACATTTTCTCGTGAGTTAATATGTTAAACAAAAATACTGGAATATACCTCCTTCATATAATCAGCCAC